GGGCGGGCACGGGGCCGCGATCCACCGTACCAGGCTGCGCAGATTGTCCTCCTGGGACTGGACCGTGAGCGCGGCAGTCCCGGTCAGCGCCCGGCGAGTAAAGTCAACGCTGCAGCGAAGGTGCAGATGCTTGGTCCGACAGACGGACGCCGGAGTGGCCAGGGAGCACGTATCCACCACCTCCGGCATGGCTCTGGGGAATCCAGCAGCACCCAGACACTCTGCAGCTGGACAACTCGACTGAGAGCAAGAAGCGAAAGGAGGGAGGTTAAGAACAGAAGAGGAGATTCACGGCGCCTGCCGGGAAAGGAAGTTTCTTAAAGTCAGAGGAGCGTGGGGAAGGGAGGGGGTGGAACTACAAGTCCCACAGTGCAGCGCGACAAGGCGTGCGCTTTGCACCCTGGGAGTGTGTGTGCCTAGGTGTAGAGGAGGCTCCAGATTGCTGGGGAGGGGGGAGGAGAAGGTAGAGGGGAGGGTTGGGAGAGGACGGAAATGATAAATGGAGCGGGGGTGGTATAAAACTCAACGCTTTCTTTTTAGTTCCATTTAATTTTGGTGGAAACTGTAAAGGCAGTAAAAGAGTGTAGTCTATTTTTGGCCGTAAGTACAGCGAGCCCGGCGGGTGACGGAGAGTAAGTGGCGCCTCGGAAGGCGGCGTCTTGTGTGCAGTTCCTCGTTAGTATAGTGGTGAGTATCCCCGCCTGTCACGCGGGAGACCGGGGTTCGATTCCCCGACGGGGAGGCACGAGAAAACCTTTTTTCCTCTTAAGTAATAAATGTTCATACAAATGTTGTACAGGACAAAGAAATAACCCACGTTAAAATAGCCGTAAGATTTAGATTTTAAGAGCTGTTTTGTCGCTGGTTTGCCGTGTTAGCAATCCAGTAAAAAAAGTGAGCCCAGTTCTGTCAGATCAAGTATTGTGTGTGTGTGTGTGTGTTTTAGTGTTTATTATGTACATCTCCAGGCCCTGGACACCTAAAACAGAATAAGCCAGCATCCCCATGTTAGAAATTGAGGAAGCTTATTTCAGTGTGCTGTAATGAGAGAGTCCTGAGATAGGAGCGTGCACTGGCCACAAGGGGAATGCAGACCTGGGGCATGTAGCTCAGCTACAGAAAAAGGTGAGGAAGGACTGACGGGTGGCTTGCCTTTAGGATAGGACTTCAGAGTTGAGACTGAAAAAACTGGAAGAGTACAGGTCTCAAAGGACTTTAAGCAGCAGGGCCTTTCGTCGTGAATGCATGAATGGGGGACCCAGGGAAGAATTTTAAGCAGAGGAGGAACATGGTCAGATTTGTTATCAAGAGAGCAATGGTAGTATTCAGAGCGTGGATCTGAAAGTCAAAGGCAGGAGAGTTAAGAAACTATTACAGTAGTTCAGGAAAAAGATGCTGGGGTCCTGACGTAGGAAACTAGTAAGGAGAGAAAGGAAAGCAGGACTGGAAGGGATCCTTACATAAATGGATTCTCAGACTGAGAAGGAACCTCAGGTGATTGTCAGCTTTTTGGCGTCAGTGGTTTGATGATCATTAACGAGAGATAGAGACTATGCGAAGAGGGCAAACTTAGGAAAGATCTAAGTTTAATTTTGGACATATGGAGTTTGAGAATATATGGAGATCGAAGTGGAGGTGTCTGTGAGTCAGTTGGTGTGTCCACAGTTCTGGGGGATTTTGGAGTAGACATGAGAGCATCACATAATGTGGTGGCTGAAACTGTGACCGTGGGTAAGCTCAGCCCAGGGAGAGTGTGTAAAGAGCGGTGAAAAAAGGTTGGTAGCTGGGACAACGCCAGCATTTAATAAAAAGGGGCTTGAGGATTGGGGGAATCCTTTCATAATCAAATCACCTTCAATTTTATTTGTCAGTTATACATCAATGACGCTGAAAATTTTTTTAAGGGGGCAAGGGACTAGAGTAAGAGGAACTCACGAAATAAACTAGAAAGGGCCAACCAGCCATGTCATATGCAGCCTAGAGGGCAATTAAAATAAGGGGTAAAAAGTCTCATTTGGATTTGGCAAAGGGTTGAGGGAAGGGAGGATGGTGGTTTTGTTGACTTTAGTGGTTTAGTTGAAGGTGTACAGCAAGCAGTGGGTTGAGCAATAAAAGAAGAAGAGAAATAGAACTTAGGCTACTCTGTCAAGATGCTTGACCAATGTCAGAAGGGAAGATAAAAGAGGAATAGAGGGGAATGTCACATTGAGAAAGTATTTTTTTATTTCTTTGGGGAGAGGAAACAGCATATTGGTATGTAGAAGTAAAAGGGTTTCCAGAGAAGAGGAAAGATTTAAAAAGCGTGGGGGGGTAGTTGATGACTTGAACACTGGACAGTGTGCATAGCTCCATTCTGTACCAGTGATCTCACAGTTGAATTTGGCTCCAGCAGCAGAAAAAGATGCCATCCATTTGGGCATAAGGAGTATAAGGAGGATATTCTTATACCCAAATGTATAGACAGAGGAAAATAAAACAGACACTTCAAGCTATGAAATCCATCTGTATACCTCTTAATTTCATAGGGCCTAAAATCATGACATAATTGATATCTGTAAACATTGGGGCCTAAAAGTGTTCTGGGTGTTACCAAATATAGGGTGACAAATATGACCCAATAGAATTGGTATGACTGACCCCCAAATATAGTGTACAAAATGAACAATTCACAAACAATAGGAGTGTTATTTATATGCAGTGGTGGATTGAGAATAATTTAAAAAAGCTTCCCATTGCTTCTATAAAATGAGCATGATATCAGTCTATGTATATGAAAGGAGGCTTTATCAAGGATGAAAACGATGACTTATATACAATTTTGTGAAAGGAAAAGTACATATATTTACAGGGCTGTATGAACAGGAAGTATTCCAGTTCTACTGCTCACCTGGAAAAGTTACATAAACCCTCCAGCCTTTAGTCCCCTCGAGATAAATGAGATACCGCTGCCTCGTGGGTGAAATGAGATAATGTAGGTGAAGTGCTTAGCACTAAGCTTGGCATAGGGTCAGCATTTGTCACGTGTTAGCTAGTCTTATTATTTTGGTTGGCTTTTATTTTGTTTATTTTAATACTTATTTGTTCTCATTTGTTATCAAGAGTTTTTAGGAAGACCCAGGAAATGAGAAGCAACCAAACATGGGAAATTAGAAGCAGATCACGCTGGATTAGGCCTCTAAGGGTGTTTACAACATTAGCAATGATCATGTTTCTGAAACACATTTACATTTGGGAAATTCAGGAAGTTGCAGTTGATGCCTTAACGCTTCCTTAAAAGGGTATACAGACTTTTCACTTTCCCCTTACTTCACCCAGACCTTTCCTTTCTGTAAGTAGTCAATACAACTTGCAGATACTAAGTGCATTCTACTGCACTGTGGCCACCTAGAATAGAGTTGGGGAAGGCTCTGTCCTACCTGTTGGATAATTTATACTCTAGCACACAGCTGAACCAGTGACCCAAGACAGCATGATGTTACAATGAAGGCCAGGGCCCAAGGAGAACTATTAATGAAGTCCTAGGGAGACAAGGTCTATCCCGTTAGGGAACGTCAGGAATAGCAGTAGAGCCTTTGGGATGGGGCTTGAAGAATGAGCAGAATTTTAATAGGAAGAATGGTAGGGGCTATAGAAGCGAACTGGGGAGTGTGAGGGGGCAGCTTTCCAGGTAGACATAGTAGCAGGAATCCAGGCACGGAGCCAGACGCAGAGACGTGCTTGGGAAAGAACAGTTATGGGGATACAGATCCCTACACATTAACCCAATGCTTCACATACTCCCTAATAACCTTCCTTTCTTCTTTCCTCTCCAGGTTATACATCTGGCGTGGCAGAGACCATTAGTTGTCTCCCCAGTATCTGCGTTTCTTTTTATCCTTCATAGTAAAACTCTCGATGGTTAGCTGGACACATGGCCTCCCAGAAGACTACATTTCCCAGCCTTTTGCAGTTATGGTCACGCAACTAAGTTCTGGCCAAGGTAATTGGGATCGTCAATTATGACTTGTAGGAAGGGTCTTTAACAGGGATTTTTTTTAACCCTCCCTCTCTTCTGTTATCTGGAATGCAGAGTTGATGCCTAGAGCTCTGCCTGCCATGCTGCATCATGAGATTGGAACCATGTGCTGAGGGTAGTGCAGTAGCAACATAGAAGGAGCTATGAGCTAGAAGTAGCAGATGTCTGGTGATCATGGAACTCCCCTGTGGACTGCCTACTCCTGGGTTTCTTTTCCTTTTTTAAAAAATATCTTTATTGATTTCAGAGAGAGGAAGGGAGTGGGAGAGAGAGAGATAGAAATTTCAGTGATGAGAGAGTCATTGATCGGCTGCCTCCTGCATGCCCCCGACTGGGGATCGAGCCCGCAACCCGGGCCTGTGCCCTGACCAGGAATCGAACCTCATCACTAGGATCCTAGATCAACGCTCAACCGCTGCACCACGCCCAGCTGGGCTCTTTTCCTTAAGAGAGAAATAAACTTCCACTTTAAGACAGTGTTCTTTTGGGTTTTTCTGTCATTCACAGGGAACTCAGTCTTTACTAAGACACCTAGTCTCAGTTGGATGGGTTTATCCATTTAGACCCAGCTACTTTATCCATTTGGCACCACTTTACTGTGGACTATTATATAAGTTTGAAAAATGTTACTTATCAGCTACATCTTTCTTCCTTCTCTCTTATATTTTCTGCTAGAGCATTCTTTCTAATTTAATCATATCACCACGTTGCCAAAAATCCTTCAAGGTCTCACCAATATCTCCAGTAGATATTCTCTATGTTTATTGGAAAATGTGACTGCCTGGGGGTAGTTTAGCCAAGAATGTGTACAAGCTGGGCAAGGAGAGGACACCAGGGGTGTGAGAAGCTGTGAAGAGGTGGAGTCAACATATTGGAGCTCCCGTGGTGCCAGAGGATGATGGAAATCAGGGTACACATCTGGAAAGATAAGGGGCAGTATTGGCAGAGAGTTTGACAAAGTAAGATTATGGATGACTTTCTATTTTCATATAAAAGGGGGAGGAGAATATATATATATGTGATATCTATGTAATATAGATAAAATTTGTGATATCTATGTAAAATATTTTTGGAAAGATTCTCAAGAAACCATGGCATGGTTTACCTATGAGGAGGAAAAGTAGGGTGGCTAAGAAACAGAGGTGAGAAGTAGATATTTCAACTGACTAACCTGTTAAACCTTTTGAATTTTGATGTATGTGACTATAATATCTATTCAAAAAAATTTATTGATTGATATTTTTAAAAAATAAAGGTCACCAGAACCGAAATATGCAAACAAAAACAGTCTCCAATGACTTCCCATTGACATCAAGCTCTGGCACTGGCTCCTTCTAGCCCTGCAGTCTCACCTCCACAGGCCATGCTGAAGGAAACTTGTCCAGGGAAGTGCAAGTTGTCTGCCTCCCACTGCTCTTCCTTACACTGGAAGTCTCCACCTCCCGCGCGCACACACACACACACACACCCATTCTTCTTGGTGGGGTTCTCTTCCCCTTCAGGACTCTGCCTCTCTTCCCTGCAGCCTGGGATGGAGTCTAGTAGAACCTCTTTCCCTAACGGGATAAAGTCATGATTTCAGCCACCTTTTTTCATTTAGCTCACAAAACAGTTGAGGCAGTGCTGACCCATTTCTTCATTTTTCTGTTAAATCTGTTTTTACTTGTGCAAGAATTTTATGTTTATATTTACATCTTTAGTCTATTCCTCATGTCAAGGAAAGGTTTGGAAAGCTGGGCAGACCAGAAATGAAAGGAGTACGAGTCAGAGTTCTTCCAATTTTGTAAAAGAGCATAAGTGACACCCCCATCCGGCCTGCCCCCACTCCTTCCACTCCCTTTCTCTCTCCCTCCCACCAAGGTTGACAGCAGGCAGGGTCTGGTGGAGAGCCTTACCAGGCCCTGTGATTCCTTCCACACAGGCCTGTCTTTCGTTTCAATGTTTGTACCATTAGGAGGGACTGTCCTGAACAAGATAGATTGTCAAGCTGTGCTGGGTTGGATCCAGCCCAGGAAATCACTGCTGGTCACATGACTTTCTCTCTTACCCACAGAATGTGGTTAGAGGGCCAGCAGCTTCAGCTCCTCCTGAAAGCTCCATCAGAAATGCGGATCTCATGCCCCACCCCACAACTGGATCAGAACACAGATCCCCAGGCGATGTGTGCTCAAAGGATATTTTGGGGGTTGGAGGAAATGCAGTTTAAGAGTTAATCAAACATGTCAGGGCAACCTCTCCTGGAGTCCACAGCTCTAGACCCTCAAATCAGTTCTCCCTTAATACCCTAATGCCATCCCCAACACTGCACCTACCAGGCTGCGTGATTGTCAGTTTCCTGGTCAGTCTCCCCTACCAGTAGGAATGTTCTTCATTCCCAGACGATATATTTTCCCTCTCTGAGCATGTTGTATGAATGAACAAATGTGTAAATGAATGAATGAGATTTTATTTGCAGTTCCAGACATCCTTTTATTCTGTGCTTTATTTTGTGTTGACTTCAAGGCAAAGAGAAAGCCACTTCCTGAGTTCTTTCTTGTCCTCCAGTGCCACCAGATAATATGTTTGCTTGTGACAGAGAATGCCCTACCACCTTCTTGATAATGGTAAACAATTTAAAAACATTTTTATTGAAGCATGCTATCCATTCATAAAAGTGCACATGCCATAAGTGTATAGCTCACTGAACTCTGTAAGTTGAACACACAGTGCAATTGTAACAGAGTGAAATACTAGGCCTCTCCGACTCCGTCTTATTCAAGCCTATGTTGTTCCCATGGCCTTCAGGCTAATAGCTCCTGCCTTGTCTTGCATATAGACATGTCAGTCATCAGAGGAAATCTGCTTGAGCTTGAGTTTTCCAAAAACGCTCCTCCCATTTTTCCTTGCCATAAAAGAAGCCTGAACTCTGTACTTTTAGAAGATGGATTTGAGGAGCTACTAGGCCTCCCATCTTCCTGGTTGGCACCTTCTCGATTGATAAACCTTTCCTTACTCTAGACTCTGAGGTTTTGAATTTTGACCTTTTGACGCTTTGGGCACACAGACTTTGGACCAGTAACACAACCAGCACCCAGATTAGATACAGGGCATTACCAACACCCACTAGGGGCCCCCGTCTAATTACCTCCCAGCCTCTAGAAATCTCTCTCTCCAGGGGTAACCACTGCCCCACTTCCAATAATATATTACTTCTATCTGTTTAGCCATTTATATATTTCCCTTCCACAAATGAAACATACAGTAGATACTCTCATGCTCAACTTCTTTGGCTCACTGCTTGTGAGATTCCTCCCTATTATTATGTGTACTTTTAGTTCGTACAGTCTCATTGCCGAGCAGCATTACATGTGTGGATACACCACCCTTATCCACTCTACTGTGGATGGACATGGGGGTAACTTCCAGTTCTGGGTTGTAATGAATGGCACTGCTATGGGCATTCTAGAACATGTCTTTTGGTGAACACGTTGGAGCCAGGTTTTGACGTGCTGCTTTGAAGTTTGGACAGCTTAACCCCGTTGTTTTGGTACTGCTGCACCAAGCCAAAAAATTCATTGATTGCAACAGCCCAGATTCTGTAGTCATGGACATAAACCCAACAATCCCACAGCTTGAGTTGGGGAAAGGTCGATCAAGCAGGGAGGGAAGCTCTTTTCAAGGAAAAGTTTCTTAGCAACTGCTGGTCTAGCTCACACTTTAGTCCCCTTTTAGTCACTTCTCTTTCTTTTCTAGGTGTGCCTGATTGTAAGATTCAGCCATCCCATGTGTTTTTTCTGACTCAGAGATTCCAGCTCTACTTATATTTTTCCTACTAAGTAGCCAGTAGTATTTTACCAGTGCAGGTACTTACACCTTTTATTCTGGTCATCTGAAGCATGAGCGGGATTTGACAAGTGTCCACAGGATTTCATTTTCAAAAGCAGTATTCCTGTCTCGTGTTGGTTCGCTTTGAGCCCAATTTTTCTGGTTTTGCCAACAGAGCAGGTTATTGCTACTTGCTTGTAAAATATGTTTTCAGCAAAGACCAACCTAAACAGCTTTCCTCCTAAACATTTTTCTCACCTACAAATCCATGTTTGAGGAATTATCTACTACTTGGCCATTTCGTATCAAAGGTCTCTCTTACTTGGTGTTTTGATGGTGAGCAAACTTGTGTAAGAGACTCACATAGTTGACTCTCTCTCCCCTTCTGCAGATGTCTATCTCAGTATTTCTCAAGCTGAGTCATGCACTTCCATGTACCCACTACCTGGCTTCTCCTGCCTTCCAAGCTGTTTCCTCTGGGCTCCCAACCCAGCTCCTTCTCCAGCCAGCCTCTACTTCCTTTCTCACAGACACACCCCACTGCTCAGCTTTGCTTGTCCAGGTCCTGATGCTGAAAGCCCTCCCCACTCACTGCTCTCACTTCTGCTTCATTCTCCATACAGATTTTCCCAGTGTATATTCCTTCCTCTTTTGGGCCTTAATTTTTCTTAATGGGAACTTTATATAAACACACATGTGTGTGTGTGTGCATGCGTGTGTGTGTGTACAGGCAGAGCTGTGAAAAATTTTACTTGCCTGAGGTTCACAGTCCCAGCTGCTCAGTTTTCTTGTTTCTGCTTCTTACAATGTAAATAAGGATCCTTTTGCGGTCTATTTAGTGTCTTGTATTTTGTGCTTTTTCATGGTGATCTTGCTGTTTAAAATGTCCTCCAAGCAACTGCTGAAGTGCTGTCTGGTGCTCCTAAGCACAAGAAGGCTGCAGTGGGCCTTATGGAGGAAATGTGTGTGGGGGATGAGTTTCATTCAGGCGTGAGTCACAGCGCTGTTGGCCACGTCTTTTATGTTAATAAGTCAGCTACGTACTGAATAAAGTATCTTTAGACAGAAACACACGTAAAGCAAGGTGATGCATTGGTTGGTTGGTTGATGAAAATATTGTGACCCAAGGTTCTCAGGGCCCCTCCTGTATTTTTCCTGGGAGCAGTGGCTCAGGATTTGCTCGTTCAGCATTTACAGCAACTTTATAGAACATGATCACTGTGCTTCAGGGGAATCGCCCGCCTGTATTTCTTATCCTCCCAGTTAGTTCATATGTTTTTTCCGACCTCTTTCTGTTCCCAAAGGAGACAAGGTGGCAAGCTTCTCACAGACACACCTTACAGTCCCTTTAACTCTCTCACAGCACCCAGCTCAGTACGAACGGCCCGGTAGGTCCTTAGTTGATAGAAAGGAACCAAAGACAAAATAAAAGACAGCCCCCCGAATGGGGCAACAGACTCGCCAGTGACACATCTGATAAGAACTCATACAACTGGACACCAAAAAAACACACAACCCCAAACAATCTAATTAAAAGGAATCAAATGAGGGAGACTAGGGTGGAAGGACAGAGGAAGGGAGGGGAGCAGAAAGGAAAGCCACACCGTGGAGCCTGAGGTTACTGCTTGCTGAAGAGGACTTGGGTTCCCAGAATTTCTCAATCTCTCATTCCTCAAATGCTTCCTCTTTATTTCTGAGCACAGCCATTCGCTAGAAAATATAAAATTAGAAATCAAGTGATATTTTACGATAGATTTGGCTTTTACTTCTGCTCCGTAAGGAATGTGACAGAGCAAATCTTCCAGATTGTTTGGAGAGTTTCCATTTTTCCTTCCCTAACTGCCCAGCCCTTGGTCTTCCCTTGGAGAGGGGCGGCAGCGGGGCTCCTGAACGTGGGCCAAAAGCGGGCCCTCGTGGCAGGCGTGACCACAGCTCGGGATGACCAGGCACCTTTCATGGGTACAAGTGGCATGGATGCCCGCTTGTCCCTGGGAAGTTCATACGCTTATTGGGACAATGGAGCCCGTGAAATGAAATCACTAAAGAGCAGCGTGGGAAACTAAATAAGTCAAGAGTGTTTGGACCAGTCGGCACACGCTGTAGGGGTTCAAGGAAAGGTCAGTGGGCAGCTTCCTGGAAGCGGGAGGCTTCATGGAAACACAAAGCAGCATCGACCTAGGATCCAGGAGGTCACGGTTCGGTTCGGGGTCAGGGCACGTGCCCAGGTTGTGGGCTCCATCCCCAGCGGGGGGGTGCAGGAGGCAGCCAGTCAATGACTCTCCCATCATTGATGTTTCTCCCTCTCCCTTCCTCTCTCTGAAATCAATAAAGACATTAGAAGAAAAAAAAAAGAAACAAAAAGTAGGGTCTCTAATTCTTCTGTATTGTGAACCAATATTAGTAAAAATTGGGCCACACCCTCAATAAATGTTTATTTGCTTATTTATAAATTATCTACATATATTAATACTATAATTAATAAATATCTTAAGGCACAAAATACACTCAGGGCAAGGTTCATTGCCAATGATAATGAATATACTTTATTTTAAGTAACCATCTTAATAATTTTGATTTGCATGGTAGGGAGGCTACCTTTTCAGGTCTAATTTGATGACCACTGTTTTGTTTTGTTTGTTAAATTAACATGCCCTCCTCATCTTGGAATAGGAGAATTGCTAATTCTCCGGTTTTCTTGTTGCTCACTTATGCTCACGTCCTAACTTCTGCATTGAGACTGCAATTTGTGAAATGTGATCCTAGAACTTTGAATTACCTGAGTGTTTAGGAAAGTCAGGAACCTGCAGAAGGTTTTAACCAGAGCCAGAGAAAACACTAGCCACCTGAGAAAAGTTAAAGGAACAACAGAAGAACAAAATCTCGTTGTTCATGATTATATCTCATAAGTCATACCTGTGAAACAGACCAGACACTTAAGTAAAATGAGAGATTTCATATTTCCTGCCTGTCCCCCCTCCCCCCCAATGATTGCTGTGTGCACGTATCCATCGCTCTCTGGAAACTCATCCTGGATGAAAGTGTCAGGTTTGGACAGATAATTGAAGAGGAAAGTACTTCCAATGAAGTTGATGGTCAAGAGCAAAGTCAGATACCAAAGGCAAATTCAGAAAAATAACTCACACTGCTTGAACCCTCAGATGTATTTCCAAAAAAGGACTTCGTCACATTTTACGCAAGGTGTCTGTCTGTGTGCAAGGGGCTGTCCACTCCACCCTGGCCTGCTGATCAGGGCAGGATTCATTGAGCTCTCCTGTCTCCTAGAACTGGAGGAACTAGCAGCCACCGGAAAGCTATCTTTCCAGCTTCAAACTAGCATCACTGAGCCTTGAATGTGATGTATCACCACTCCTGTCATTGTCAGTTGGTCACACAGACCAACCCTGAGACAGTAGGAAGGATACCAATCTATGAATGCCAGGAGGTGGGGATCATCGGGGGCCTTCTTGGGGACTGGCTACTCCCATGAGTAGGCATGATTACTGTTCCCATATATTAAGTCTCCTTTATAAAGGAGGACACCAAGGCTCTGATTAGTCATCAGCACATGTCACTCAGCCTGGAATAGGCAGAGCTGTGGTTTGCCCCCAGGCAGGCTGACCCCAGAGCACATCCCTTTTAAGCACTGCCCTGTCCCCTGGCCTCCCCACATGCCTTTTTCTAATTTCCTTTCTTCCCCCTGCTGCACAAAACATTGCGAATAAGATATATTTCCTTTTGCTTAGGCCATTTTGAAAGTCATTGTTTCTTAAGGGTGGAGATTGGAGGGTTTCCAAAGAATGAAATATAAGGAGAATATCTGTCCAGAGCCCCCAACATGTCCACATTAACTAATTAATCAATTAAGAAAATGTAACTCACACACTATGAAAGACAAGACCATTGACCCAATTTTAGAGCCGGATCTTTATAAAATGCACACAAGGCAGAGTGTATACATTCTGTCATATCTCTTTCCTCTGTGGTGGTTTGGGTCAGGTTGTTGTTTAGTGAGGCTAGGAGGGCTAAATTAAGCAACATTTTTCGAAAATGAGCCTGTAAGATTAGACCTTAGGAAACAAAAGCCGGAAAGAGAAACTACATTTCCTATAAAATGTGCAACTGTGGGATAACAGCTTACAACACAAAGACTGGATAGAGGGCAATTTACATACGAGAAGTAATGGGGTTCTATACGATATATTAAGTCACCTTTATAAATGATCATGTGAAAGGTAAAGTTTTGTTGTTCTTTTGTTGTGATTTTTTAAAACCAAATTTGTACTGCATTACACAAAATCATAAGCCATCATTTTAAACTAGGTTATAGCAAACAATAAAGACATTTTCTTTTGTTTAATAAATTTTGTAGCACTTTCTATGTGTCAGACCCCATTTTAAGTGCTTTAGACATAGTAGCACCTTTCAGTTAATCCTGATAACAACCCCAAGATGCAGGGTCTATTTTCCCATTTTACAGATGACAACTAAGGTGCGAGTCCTGCCCTGGTTAGGTAACCAAGTTAGTTAAGTTGCTGAGTAACCTAAGATTCAGTAATCAGCAAAGATTATGCAGCTAGTCAGTTTCAGAATTGGGATTAACATCAGGCACTATAGCCGTAGCTTTTGCCTGATAAAAATATGAATACATAGCTCATTCTCTTTTGTGACTGCACAGGCCATTCTCACCCCTTCTCTGCCCAGCAAACTCCTGCTCTTTTTTAAAGAGTCAACTCAGACTTACCCTCTGCTATGGAAACTTCTGTGATTTGCATACAGAGTTGGGCACCTGTTTCTCTATGTTCTCAACATATCTTGCTCATAGTATTGAGACATTTGCTGTTTTTTGTCTGCTTAGCTTCTAGTCTCTCTTCTCTGGCAACAGTTCTGTGACCCACCTCATTTCAGGAGTAGCCCATGTGACCCAAGTCTTGCCAATCAGAGCACCAAGGAGCCCCAGTTCAGAGGCAATCCTGTGAGCCAGGTCTGTCTAATCAGTGAACCCTGGAACATGTCAGGGAATTCTGGAGAAAAACATGCACATTTGCATTCTTACCATCGTACCTTCACATGGTGCCTGAGAATGAAGCCAGAATGAAGGGAGCGTGAAAGCAACAAGACAGTGGGAAATGTCACGGCCCATGTCATTGTTTGAGCTTCTGGATCACGCCCCCCTGAATTCAAAGTAGACTCTTGGACTTCATGAGCTAATGAATTCCCCTTTTCAGCTTCCACCAGTTGGAGTTTTCTATTATTTGCAACCTAAAGAATATTAACCAATAGATATATTTCATTATACAGTGGTACCTCGGTTTTTGAATGTCTCCATGGACGAACATTTCGGTTTAGGAACGCCGTAAACCCAGAAGTCAGTGCTTCGGTTTTCGAACACTCCTCGGAAGTCGAACATGCCCCATGGCTTCTGCTGAGGGCAAGATCCTGAGGCCCAGCTGCCAGCTGTTGATCCCTTGGTTTTCGAGCATTTCAGAACTCGAATGGTCTTCCGGAATGGATTACATTTGAAAACCAAGGTACCACTGTATGTTTACATGTTTATATCTATTTCTTTATACTAATGTGTCTCCCTACTTGACAGTAATTATTTAACGGCAGTAGATGCTTAATAAATAGTTGTGGACTGAAATTAGCTGAAAAGTGTTTCGGGGGGACTAAGCCTAGAGCAGGGACACTTTTAGGGAGGCTAATGAACTTGGTGCAAAATGTGCTCAAGGGATTCAATTAGGCCGAAGAGTGGGTTTGAAAGGGAAGAGACAGATACCAGACAGAGAATTAACAAGGCAGTGATGCGAATGGGGTAAAGAGTATTTAGCCTGGGTTCTATCCCTCTGTGTGTTTGTGTCTGTGGGTTTTAGTAAGCTTCTCATTAGCAGCCAGCCTAAATTAAAATTTAATTTTACTGCTGGTTACTGCCTGTCTAAATAGCCCACTTCTTCCAGTTTATCACAAGTGGGAAAATTAATATTAGAGAACCAGAGACTCACAAATGAGCAAATAAGCATAACTGTCACACAAAAAATAATGTTTATTAAACACCTTCAGACCTTCATAAGGATAGGACCAGGAGTCCAGAGCCCCACACACATCAGTTTACAGTAACAGGCAGCTTCTGGACAATTTAAGAGAGCACCAATTATGAGCAAAGGCTCTGAGCAAAATGGAGATTGACAGGTGAAGTGGCCCTTGCCTCCTCTAACCACCAGCCACGTGGACACCAGGAAGGAGACCCTTGGGCAACAGCACCCTACAGCCAGCCCCAGGACCCAGTAGGAGGGAGGGACAAGGCCCCCTTTGCTTTCAACACCTCACCCGGAAAAGGAGCCAATCCTATTGCTACTGAACATCTGAGCCTACTCCTGGGACAGGTCAGCAGGATGGAGAGGCACCATCTGTTTCGCTCCGGGGTTATTTCACTTCTGCTCTCTGACTGTCGCTGACCTGCAGACTTCTAGGTGTAAGACGGTCTCTGGGTGACCTATGCCCGGATCAGACTTGAGGGAGACCCCATTGTCCAGGATAGGGGATCTATAGGGTTCCGCCCAATGGAACATTCTATGATAAGGGAAATGTCCTATATTTATGCAGCATCAGCCACAGGTGGCTACTGAGCACTTGAGATGTGCCTAGTGCAACTGAGGAACTACATTTTTAGTTGAATTTAGTTAATTAAAGTTAAAATTTAAACAGTGACTAGTGGCTGCCATGTTGGATAGCACAGCTCTATAGTTTCTTTCTCCCCCCCCTTCTACCCTGCCTTCTCCTTATTTCCCCACCCACCCCTCTTCCTCTTGCTGAAATAGCTCCTGTGAAATGTGAACTATTTGCTAAAACCTTCCTGGTCTGGGCCAGTGCCCAAATCCAGTGGATGCACAATGGGTCATGTGAATGTGGCCTCTTAGCTGAAGAAGAAGGTTTGTGATGATAAATCAGAAACAGAACCATAAGGGATAACCCACAGACAGAAGCACACAGAATGGGGTAGCACCCAAGGTAAATACTGTTTACCTCACTCATATCACTGCCTTGTTAATTGTCTGGAATCTGTCCCTTCCCTTTCGGTCCCACTCTTCAACCTGATTGAGTCCCTTGATCACATCTTGCACCAAGTTCATTAGCCTCCCTAAAAGTGTCCCTGCTCTAGGCTCAGTCCCCTCTAAAACACTCTCATTCATCACATCATATGCTGCCATTTCAAATTATTAATATTTTACACAATTCCTTTAAACTGGTTACTTACCTTTCATTTGGAGGTATGATTCCCCGTCAGGGTACATGCCCGGGTTGCGGGCTCGATGCCCAGCAGGGGGCGTGCAGGAGGCAATCGATCCATGACTCTCATCATTGATGTTTCTATCGCTCTCTCTCCCTCTCCCTTCCTCTCTCTCTCTGAAATTAATAAAAATATATTTTAAAAAATAAAGCACATAGGATAAAGCTCAGCACACAGTAGGTGTTAATCAGTCGTTCACTGATATTAGCTTTGCACCCTTCCTTGCACACAGAAGGCACCCACTAACAGGTTTGCTGAATGAATGAATTACTGGATTAAGTATGTTGCCACCAGGTGGCAGTAGTACCCCATTTATAAGGACTGAACCAAAATAGGGGACTAGCGGATGCATTGCAATTCTCTCTTGAAGTCCCAGATACACAGTATGAAGAAAAGAACTGAACCTTTTTTCTTTTCCCACTGAATTAGTCTGCTCAGGCTACCAAAACGACAGACTCAGTGGCTTAAACAACAGACATCTATTTTCTCCCAGTTCTAAAGGCTAGAAGTTCAAGATAAGGTGTCTGCTGGGTTGGTTACTAGTGGAGCCTCTCTCCTGGCTTGTAGATGGCCATCTTCTCGCTGTGCTCTCACACAGCCTGTTCTCTGCACATGCAAAGGGAGAGAGGCCTTGGTATCTCTTCCTCTTCTTGTGAAGTCCCCTAGAGCCTCCAGAGGAATGGAACCCTGCTGACATCTTGATTTTAGCCAAGTCAGACCTATTTTGGACTTCTGACCTCCAGAACTGTAAGAAAATTAATTTGTTTGTGTGTGTGTGTTTTTTAAGCCACCAGCTTCGTGGTAATTTGTTAGAGTAGCAATAGAAAATACTACAGGGAATGTGGGTTGTCAGGGTCCCTGCAGGAAACAAGTGGGTTGTCAGGGTCCCTGCAGGAAACAAAGCCTAAGTCCCTGTATAGGCTTTAAGTGACAAAATGTTTAATAGACAGACTATGTTTTACGGAGGTATGGGTGGGATTAAGAGCACACAAAAAGGTATGAGGAAGCACCAAGAAATTAACAACAGCAGGAAGCCGGCATCTTCCTGAGGCCTGAGGGGCCCAGGAGAGAGAATGGTGTCACTGGGTCCAGTGAGAACTTGAGTCATGACGAGGCAGCTTAACAGAAGCTGTGGCCATAAAGGCCTGACTGTGGGTTGGGCAGATCCCCTAAGGTTTCTGTTATATACAATAAGCTCTGATGGTGAAGAGGTTTTTTTTAAATCCTTGCCCAATTTTCCATTGCTTTTCAGAGAGAGTGGGAGGGAGAGAGAGAGTAGGAAGGAGAGAGAGAGAGAGAAACATCGATGTGAGAGAGACACATCAATTGGTTGCCTCCTGCATGTGCCCCGGCCAGGGTCAGGGACAAGCCCGCAACCAAGGTACATGCCCTCGGCAGGAATCGAACCCAGGACCCTTCAGCATGCAAGCTAGTGCTCTAACCACTGAGCAGAACTGGCTAGGGCTGAAGGATTATTTATAAAAGACTTTTAGCCCTAAGAAAAGATTCATGATGAATTCTGTACTTAACCCCTGAGGTCAAAGCAGATAATATTAACAGCTGACTTAATGAGGAAGGAACTCCGTTAGACCTACTTGCTTGTGTGTCTTTACCTCTTGATGTAGCTTTTACTTCATTTTGAATATGTAAAAATGCTTTCAATGATTATAACTGATACTTATTTCAACAGATATCTTTAACGGAAAAACATATATAAATGGCTCATAGTGTATAAAAAGCAATGCAGTTATCCATGTGTGTAAAAGCCTGTTTACGGGCAAAAGCTATAAGCTGAGCACCACCACACACCTCGGTGCAGTGACCCATATATTTCAGGCAAAGTAGCAAGGGCAAAATTAAAAGACCCTCTAGTTTTCATATAGTAGTGGTTACCCTCATCTCGCAAGCCTTACCCAGAATCAGTTGGGAGAATGTGTGAGGGGGAGGGAGAAAGGGTACTTTGATCTTTTCATAGTTTCCTTCTGGGTAAATAAATTTATATTTTCGAGCCAAATCTCATTTTGCAATTTCCTGCCAAATTTAGTTCTCTGTAAAGTTTACCTTTGCTTTTTCCACCTCTGCCCTCAGGCATTCAACAAACACTTTACCTTTTTTTTTCCAGATTTAAATTAAACGTTTTAGAGAAATGAGGCGTGTGATAACAGTCCCTGCAGCCCTCCCTACGGCATGACATTCATTTGGGCCTGCTTTCTCTCAAACTGTTCAATTGCCTCCTGATTTATATTAAATACAGCTACATCTGAAGATTTGGAAGCAATCTAAGTGGAAACAGCTTGATTCGCTAGAAGAAAATAATAAAAGTCAGAATAAAATAATTACAAGCAAATTGGAAGAACAGACTCAATTTTGTCACCAATAATTTTTAGAATTTGTTAGATTGTCATTTGTTATTACTCTGTTTCCATTTCTTCAGCCAAAAGAAGTTCTAAGCAAATTTGAATCTATTTTTATAGATGAAGTCAATGAATTGAACATGGTGACTTAAAAAAATTTTAAAACTTTACCCTGGCTGGGTTGCTTAGTTGGTTAGAGAACCGTCCTGATACCAAGGTTGTGGGTTCAATCCCCAATCAGGGCACATACAGATGTTTCTCTATTTTCCTTCCTTTCTAAAATCAATCAATAAATTTTTAAAATTAAAAAAAAATTTTTTTAAACCCAGATAAGTTACATAGTGAAACCCCATTCACTTGGATCCTACCCTTATTTGCAATGACTTGATATGAGTTGGTTTAAAATCCAAGGGTTTATTAGGAAAATAATGTAAGCAAAATTTCAATCTATTTAAGAAGTCAAATAACTTCCAAGCATTTGAAAAAGCTTTGATATTTTTAATATGCATATAATTCTATTAGTTTGACAGATGATTATCAATATTCCTGTCTTCACTGACATTTACATAGGATTTTGTACTTTACAAAAAGTTTTTGCAAGTCAGAATTTTTGTTCTCACTATATAGAGACATTTCATTCAACAAGTATTTTATTGGGCGCCTATTATCTGCTAG